AGGCGCTTCTTTGAGCGTAATGGTGTATCTCACTCTGTGCACTCTTCGCAGCCAAGTTTTTTTTAATGTAGAGCGTCGCCATGACTACACGGTTATATGTAAGGACAATACATGTCTATGTCTACACGGTCCTTTGTAAGGACAATACATGTCTATGTCTACATGGTTCTATGCAACGACAATGCATGCGAGAACAAGTTGGGAGAAAAGTTTGGGACGGCAGACGGCGACAGAATTGTTCCAAATGAAAGTGAAAGGTTCCAAGATGCTTTGACCAAGTGGGTGACGACGCGGTGGTATATGGTGGTCGTCAATTTTTGGGCATTTGGAGTTATTTGTATTATCTTAAAGCTTGTACATTTATTTTGTTTTCGAAAAAAATGTACCCATTTATCTTAAATAGAAGTCGAGATATACTGGATTGAAGGAGGTGGGGGTCACCTGGTTTCAGAGGACAAATTAACGAGGAAATGGCCACAAACTTTTGGTGACTTAAAAGTCTTGAAAGTCTTTGGAAATCGTAAATTTACCCCCCCAAAATTGGGCTGCCTTTAATCAACGTTTTTCAGTAAAAGTAAAGATTTTTCAATGGACATATAAAGTGTTGAGCTAAAAAATATTTTTTAAAATAAATATTGCTAAACGGGAAGAATAATGCTGTTTTCTTCGATTTCATTATCACAACAAGCGCCTGATTTCACCACGATCTCTCACAAGTCAACCTAGTACCGAGGGCCTTCACTGGGAGCGTCCTTGAGTTTACACGTTCATCCAAAGCTCCCGCTTTATCTGGTTCCCTACGGACACATCTAGGTGGCTGTGACGTCACGAGAGACACATGCCAATAACGCATTCTAAGATTGTGGGGTCGAAATATTACTCTTACTCGATAGACCCGCTTTCAATGACCTGACTAATATAACCTTCACAAAAAACATCCTGTATAACGATAGTATGTGTCCAGAACGGAAAGATTAGTTCTATTTTTGTCAATTCATACCTATTCTTATAGTTTTGGGCAATATACATGTTTTTAAAAAACATTATTTCTATGACTAATGCATAATGACATAAATCCACATATTACCTCGGCACCCAAAGAAGGGACATGGAATTTTTCCTAGAAATGAATGAAAACAAGTCATGTTACAAAATGAACATTTAAATCTTCGTTCAAAACATACGTTTTCATTGTCATAATTCATACCTCTAGCAGGTTTAATGGTTTATCTGACGAATAAACGTCTCTAGGACACTTAAATAAACACAAAAGACTCGAACATCTAGCTCTCTCTGGTAAAATTGAAAACAAATTATGAGGCAGGGGCAGAGCCAGAGACAATTAAAATTTGGAAAGCCTAAATAGTTGGTTGTCGGGGAAAAACCTTGATAATAATATCATTTTTAGAGTATCCGAGCAAAGGAATGAATGGTGAACCATGATCGCCGATGTCTGTCGCAGACCCAACCCTTGATAACGAGGAGTAATACTCATCAGTTGTTCTTGCTTGACGGGTTCATCTAAGGGACACAACTCATCCTGTGGTAGAGTACATGGTGTATCTAAGGGACGTAATTCATCCAGTTATTGTAGTTTGCATGGTTTATCTAAGGGTTTCAACTTACTGAGTTGTTGTAGCTTGAAAGTCTTATCTAGCCTAAGGGGCACAATCCACCCTATTGTTGTAACTTGCATGGTTTATATAATCCAGTTGTTGTAGCTTGCGTGGTTTATCCAAGGGACACAACTCACCCAGACATGCCAGGAGACCCGGTTTGTTGACACTTTGATATACCTAAGGGGCATAACTCACCCAGTTGTTGTAGTTTGCGCATGGTTTATCTTAGGGAAACAACTCACAAAGCTGTTGTCGATTACCCTGTAGTAACTTGCATGGTTTATCTAAGGGTCTCAACTTATTGAGTTGTAGTAGCTTGAATGTCTTATCTAGCCTAAGGGACACAACCCACCCAATTGTTGCAGCTTGCATGGTTTATCTAACCCAGTTGTTGCAGCTTGCATGGTTTATCTAACCCAGTTGTTGCAGCTTGCATGGTTTATCTAACCCAGTTGTTGCAGCTTGCA